TTCTGGACCCTTCAGAGGCAAGTTTGAAATGTGTGGTACGTTTTAAAAAGGAATAAAAATATTGTAATATTTTTTAAGCAGTAAGCATAGAAATAAATATTTATTTAAAATTGTTCTGAAATGTGTAGTTGGGCACAAGTTATATTTTCATTCTTTCTGCAAAACAGAGGTACAAATGTGTGGTCTGTATCGCAGCCAAACTGCTTTTCTAATTTTATCGTTTAAGTTTAAGTGCATCATCAAAAATAAAAAGGGCAGAAACACACAAACTTAAGCATGGTATGGCTAACACAAACTTTGTGTGTTTTTCAGTGCTAAAACATTATGGTCAAATTATTATGTTTCTACATGAACTATCACTTTTATTTAGTAAAATGTATATTTTAGATATTTGACAAAGTACAAGTGTAGGTTAACATATATGAAATACAATTTGAATCCGTTAGGAAATTGTTTGAAGTCCAAGTGTTCGAATCCATATTTTTATGCTACCTGGAAAAAAGATAATAACCTTTTTAAGTTATAATTATGAGTCATAAAATAATACACATGCTTCAACAACTGTGTAGGTGCAATACAGGCAGTCCCAGAGTTACAAACATCTGACTTGCATACGACCCCTTACTTACAAACGGAGGCTATTACTGTGCAGCAGGGGGTCCCAGGCTGCAGCCAAAGTGTACCGCGCAGCATTTCAGTAGTTGTAATGCTATCGCGCTCGTGCCCGCTTTTTTGGGTCTGGTTTGTAGTACTGTACGTACATTACAGGAAGTTGGCTCTTGTCAGATGTGCAGATGAGGGGTGCCCTGCCTCTTCCGTGTCACTGTGAGGTTTTTACTGCTGTCTGTATCCACATTAGAAAGATTTAATCTGACTTCCTGTCCTTGAGACAACCGGAAGTGAGAGGAAATCTACCCATAGGAAGGGAAATTCATGCCTGTATGAGTGATCATGGGAAAAAGGTGTATTCACTAAAGCTTCATCACCAATCCATGTTTCCATTTTCAAAATCCAATTGTCACAGGGACAGAAAGTGAGGTGAAATCTTCTGAACAGGGGCACACACAGCAAAACAAACGTTATAGGGGGCTAACCCTTCCCTATGCTATTCAAAACGGAAAAAAAATTTCAGCTGGAGTTGCACTTCCTGTTCCAACTTGCATACAAATTCAACTTAAGAACAAACCTACAGTCCCTATCTTGTTCGTAACCGGGGACTGCCTGTACTTGCGTTTCTATCTTGCAAAAAAACCTATAAGACTAGAATGAGGAAAAATATGGCAAAGTACCTTTTTTTTTTTTTATTTTACCAAGAGTATGCAATAAATGCAGTCAGTATTCCGTATACAACGCAAATGTTATAACTGAAAATTTAGACTGTGGTTTTAAGTATACCACATATGGCTTTTTCATTGTCGGGCAATATTTGCTTATTTTTATGATAGAAAAAGTACACTTTTCACAAAACGTTTTACTATAGGAGCTGTTAAATTTACTGCATGCATCTTATAATAATTTTTGCTGTACAATATACACTATATTGCCAAATGTATTGGGATGCCTGCCTTTTTACATGCAAATGAACTTTAATAGCATCCCAGTCTTAGTCCGTAGGGTTCAATATTGAGTTGGCCCACCCTTTGCATCTATAACGACTTCAACTCTTCTGGGAAGGCTAGTCAAGTTCCTCAACCCCAAACTCGCTCATCTATGTATTTTATGGACCTTGCTTTGTGCACTGGTGCGCAGTCATGTTGGAACAGGAAGGGGCCATCCCCAAACTGTTCCCACAAATTTGGGAGCATGAAATTGTCCAAAATGCCTTAAGAATTTCCTTCACTGGAGCTAAGGGGCCAAGCCCAACCCCTGAAAAACAACCCCACACCATAATTCCCCCTCCACTAAACTTTACACTTGGCACAATGCAGTCAGGCAAGTACCTTTCTCCTGGCAACTGCCAAACCCAAACACGTCCATCGGATTGCCAGACAGAAGTGTGATTTGTCACTCCAGAGAACATGTCTCCACTTCTCTAGAGTCCAGTGGCAGCGTACTTTGCACCACTGCATCCCACGCTTTGCATTGCACTTGGTGATGTAAGGCTTGGATGCAGCTGCTTGGCCATGGAAACCCATTCCATGAAGCTCTCTATGCACTGTTGCTGTGCCACTCTGAAGGCCACATGAAGTCTGGAGGTCTGTAGCTATTGACTTGGCAGACAGTTGGCGACTTCTGTGCACGTCAGCATGGGCTGACCCCGCTCTGTCATTTTACGCTGTCTGACATTTTGTGGCTGAATTGCTGTTGTTCCCAGTTGCTTCCACGTTGATATAATACGATTAACAGTTGATCATGGAATATTTTAGTAGAAAGGAAATTTCACGGAACACCTGAATCCAATGGTTTAGAGGGGTGTCCCAATACTTTTGGCAATATAGTGTTTATTCAGAAGTCCATTCACATAAATCATTGTGTGTGTTTTTCCACCTTCTAAAATATTGCTAGCTTCTGACCTGTTAATTGTTAGGTGTTTTTTTTATGTGTCAAATGAGGAAAGAGCATACTGGAGTCATTACTGGTAGAGGTTACTCAAGATTGCATAAGGAAATAATACCAGTTGATGAGAAATAAACACTTGCAAGGTTTAAATAACTATTTTTAATGCTTGAAAATTGTACATCTATACAAAATTGTCATGTGAATAGACAGACATTTTTCTTTTCTTAGAAAAAAAAAAAATCTTCAAAA